GAGCAGCCTGGGACAGTGGAGGTGTCCCTGCCATGGCAGGGGTGGCACTGGATGGGCTCTGAGGTCCCCTCCAACCCAAACCATTCTGGGATTCCATGATTCTGTGTCAGGGATGATCTTGTTTTGAAAACACACCAGATTTTTAATGGAAAAAGGGTACGTTCAATTTTTTAAGCCATAGGGGAAAAATAAAAGCACAGAAAAAAAGAAAAAGCTTTGCATTCAGAGACAATAAATCAGCAAATGCTGCCAAAAGCTATATGGTGAAGAAAACTCTACCTTGGGAAGAATTTCTGTTTTAAAATCAAGTAATTAAATGCCTGAATCCTCTGCTGCTGTCAGCTCCCAGCTTTGTCTGTGTGTGCTCCTACATGTTTGGGAATGTTTGCTCTTGCCTTGCAGAGCTGATTAAAGTTTGATTCCAGGGCATTGTGACTAATTGTCTCTAGCCTCCTTCAGCCTCAGTAAACAGAATTAAAAACAAGCAGAGGAAGAGATGAAGAATGTCCTGGGAAAACCTCCAAATGGCACAGGAGACAAGAGGAAATGTCTGAACAAGAACTGTCAGCACCAGAGTTCCCCTTCCCTCCCCATTAGCTCCGGCTGAGGAGACATTTTGCAGGAGCAGCTCCTCAGCTCTGTTTGAAGGTTGGCAGGGAAGAGCCTGGAGCTGCAGCCAGGCTTGAGGAAGGAAAAAGGCTTTCCCTCATGCATATTTTCACACAGCAAATATGGTGAGAACGCCCACTGGGAATACATCAGAAGTAGCTCTGGAATAATGTCTGAAGTCACCAGCCCAATTTGACTTCTCCTGATAAAAACAAACATCAAGCCCCTCCTCATGCATCCCCCTCAGACCCATTTCACATTCATTCAGATGCCCTCCAAGCTGGTTTGAGTTACTGGTTAACACCACTGCTGACTCCATCCCATGCACAGCTGCTGGCCCACGGATGCTTTCAAAGTCCACAGGAATTTGGACTCCTCTGCATTAATTTTTTGTTTTGCTGTAAACACCTGATGGGATTTCTCCTGCACACTGTGTCCCTGCAGCCTAGAAAGGGATTTAACAATGCTGGATCAAGGGAAAGGGAGGGGACACAGCTTTTAAAGCTGAAAGGACAGGTCTCCAGGGAAGCCAGGAAGACCAAGATTAATCAAATGCAATAAAAGCAGATTCTCTAATTTATTTTTTTCTGAGGGATGGGGGAACTTTTGTTCTGTCCCTCTTCAACAGCTGAAGTTGCAGATTGTTCCTTTGGTTCTGCTCTCTCCCATTTTCTGTCATGGACAGCAGAGCTGCTGCCAGCTCCCACGTGGTGGGGCCAAAACCAAGCAGCCACTGCAGTTTGTCATTTTTCAAGCTCATAAAATGGTTCAAACACCCCAGGATTGTTTGCTAGGTACACAAAGCTGGGGATTACACCTCTTCTCTGCTGCTGCCCAGCTGCTGCCCTCTTCCTCCCACCCAGACACCCTGCAGTTGCCAGCTGTTCTGGGTTACTTCTGAGATCAGACAAAATAAATGACATGAAAATATCCCCTTTCATGTCTGACTGCAGAGCTTGGAGTGCGACAGTTCTCCCATTAAGGCTGATCAGCAAATGCACCCCATGCTTTCCAAAACCAAACTGCATCACCCATGAGCAGCAGCTGCAGGCAAATTCTAGACTTGTGATTTTAAAAAAAAGGTTGGAATTTTGTTACTAATTTCACTGCAAGTATAACTCAGATGGATTAATGTCAACAGCACAGCTAGGAACCACTGTGGAAAACCTCTGGAAAGAAGGAATTATTCTCATGTGCTTTGTTTTTGAATCAATTCCACTCATATAAAACTTTTAAGCAAGTCACAGCTGAACCTGAGCAACATTTACCACCTGAGCAGAAACCTCAGGTGACAGAGCAGGCAGGACACAGCAGGAAAGTGAATGTGACCAAGGCAAGGGAAGTAACTGAAGAGCTTTAGGGATCACCAAGGTCTTGGGAAGGGACACAGGTCACATTCCTGACATGTTACAGCCACCACAGCATCATGAACAACTCTGAAACCACTCTCCCTGCTGGCTGCACCTGAGGTGCTCTTACCTGCCATTTCTAATACTTGTGTTCCCTGGTGAGTTTCAGACAGAGCAATAGATCTGTTGGAGAAAGAAAATCAGGTCAGCACATGGCACAAAGCAGCACCCAGAGAAACCCCTGGAACTGGGAATGTTCCAGTGTGTGACAAACACGAGCCCAGGGTTCCACTGGTGTCCAACACCCAGAGGAGGAAGGCTGGAGCCTCCCAAAATGGATCCTGATTTCTCCTTGTGTCCCAGATTGCAAGGCAAGATGTAATTTATTACCATCTGGATGGCAGTTGTCTTTTGTTGTCACAGACATCTTTTATGAAAAATCTTTTCTTTATGATTTTTCCTCCTGAGAAGCTGAGAGGCCTCAGGAACAAAATGTAAACAATGNATCCACTCCCTGCTCATCTCTGCCTTGGTCCTCCTGGGCACTGACCCCCTGCCTGCACACAGCCTGGGGCTCCTAAACAACTGCAAGGTTTTATGGTCACAAAATCACACTGACAACACAGTCAGGGGAACAAAACCTACCCCAGCTGCTACTTCTGACTTGCACATGGCCTGAGAGTAAAATAAAACACTGTTTTACTGCAAAGAAAATGTCTTCTGAGTAGCCAGCAAAGCTTTGTACACAATGGTTTGGATGTGTCTCAGTGTGGGGGGAAGAATAGTAGTTATTTAAATGAATTAATTCTATGTATTTAAACTAACAGATTGTAGATTCCCCATCCCTGGAAGTGTCCCAGGCCAGGCTGGACAGGGTTGGAGCAGCCTGGGACAGTGGGAGGTGTCCCTGCCATGGCAGGGGTGGCACTGGATGGGCTTTGAGGTCCTTCCAACCCAAACCATTCAGGGATTCCATAAATCAATGATATTTCATTTACACACCAATTAGCTGTACTTCTCCAAATATTCATTTTCAGAAACCATTTATTCTCCAAAAGTTACTTATTTTAAAACACCCCATAAAACAACACCAAGCCAGGGGCATCTGCAAAGTTTTAAGGAACTTTTTGCTCTCCCTGTGCCTCAGGTCAGTTTGTTCTCCAGCAGTGGGAGCTGTGGTACAACCTTCCCCAAACCTCCCTCCACCTTAATCCAGTGCTCACATCCAATTAAAGTAATGAGCAATCACCCTTCCAGCAATGACTTGTGTGTTTCTATTTTTCCAAACTGCCCTTTCCTTGTTTACCTCCTTCCCTTTACACATCTCTCTCCAAAAAAATCAGGGAGACCCCCAAAGGAAGAGCAGTGCAGATGGAAATGTGAAACTCCTGAGTGCAGGAGATGGAAATGTGAAACTCCTGGTGCAGATGGCAGCTCTCCTGGCCATGCCCAAATCCCTGGCTCTCCTCCAGGCTGCCATTAACTCCACTGAGGGACTCTTTGTTTTGGGAGAGGGGAGGACAAAGGAGGCTTTACAGCTTGCAGTGAGTCTGGAGGGACAGGCAGCTTCTTCAGGCAAGAAAATTACAGAGCTCATTGCAGCAGCTCCACATAACCAAAGAACAATGGAGCCATGGATTATGCCATTATTTATGCACACAAATCTCTCTCCTACACACATCCCGTGCATCTGGAATAAAAGCCACACCACCAAATGCAGAGCTGGCAGCAAACAAGCTTTCCTTCAGTGAGAAGGGTAAAGAGGATGACAAGCATTTGGGGGGAAAAAAAAGATAAGCAAGGCAAAAAGATTGTTAATGTTGCAAAGCACTGCCTGTGGTTTCCTAGGCCTGCCACAGTGATTTCATTCCTTGCAGAAGAATGGTCAATGCTCATCCCTGGTTCCTCAATGGCTGAGGCAAACAACAGGAGCCCAGGGCCAGGAGCTCTGCTCACACAGGGTATCAGCACATCAGCAGCTGTGACAGGAGCAGCTCCCAACTCCAGCAGGATGGCTGGGGGGCTCTGGAGAGCTGAGGGAGAGCCAGCATGCAGCCAGGAGATGCTGCTTCCATTGGGAAGGGAAATGGGGGATAAGAGGGAATTCTGGCATTTCTAGAGCGAGGTGGGGAAGGAGACAGCAGCAAATGGGCCACATTTATTTTGTCTACAATTCTCCTATTCCTCTTACTTTAGGAGAACTGGGAATTTCCTTAAGGT